CTAACATACAATTTCAAGGGGAGGTCATTTTCACAAACTATTTTAAAGGTCTACCTACCCTGTAAATGTCACTATTGCTATTGATCTACGTAGTTATGCAGCGTTAAATGCAGGGCCTCCTCTAAGGATTTTTCACTGGGTGGGCAAAATTTTTCGCCGCTCCCCTGCCCAAGGGCAGATCCAGTCACTTGTTTTGGAGTGCAACCATTCTCACCTGCGACTGGGGGGGGGGGGTTAACCCGGCGGCCGCTGGGCCTCCGCGCCACCCGCCGGCCGCTGGGGGGGGGGCATAAAGTTGCCCCCCTTTACTTCTGCGACGATATCGTCGCAACGCGAAGAGATAGAGAAGCGAAACTTTGCACACATCTCCCTGAATACCTAGCTGAGGTTGTGTCCAAATTTGGTGTCGATCCCATTTGAAATGACGTCACAGTGACGTCATAAGTGAAATTATAGATTTGCGGCTCTCATATTCCTCACGATACATCACATATATGGGACCGAATATAAAGGGCCGATTATTGGTCAGAAACTAGATGGAAGTGTAGTAAGATGTTTTAGGATGACAGCAGGTGCTGTCTTGTTCATTTACAGTCGAGTTTCATGCTCAGCGTCATCAGAAACGGTCCATATCGGAAAACGACAAAAATTTATGACGTCACTGTGACGTCATCTTAGGTGCTACAACCACCAAACTTTCCTCAAACATTGCCTAGGTATTCATTTGAAGCTATGCCAAGTTTCACGTTCGTAGCTCATCAGTTTTCGGAGATATTTCACAAAACGTAAAGGGGGGCAACTTTATGCCCCCCCCCCCCAGCGGCTCGTGGGTTAAGGCCTATGTCACTTTCACAGTCAACCAACTGTGCCATTTATAGTTTAACGTTTGTCGTGTGTGATATGGTATTTCGTGTGTATTTCACCTTATAGGTATGCCTATTGTCTACATTAGTGATGTCAATAACGGAAAATCAGGATACCGATACCGAATCAAATGCCAATCAAAACCATGAAAAATACCGAAACCAAACCAACTTGGGAACATGAGGGAAATACCAACTTTTTACCGAATTCGTATCCTCTTATACATTAGCCGGATTCGTAATACCAATAAAATACCAACAACTTTAGGATCAAAATACCAAATACCAAGTTGGTATCGGTTTGGTATCGGTATACCAAAAAGTTGGTATCCGATTGACATCTCTAGTCTACATACATTTAAAATTTTAAGAAGACTGCAAAAGTGCAGAGTTAAACTTACTATGATTGCTCCTTGAACCAGAAATCGAATAGGTAGGTGATGCTCGCTGCCTCTTTTTAGGAGGCATGGTCAGCTTAAACTCTTGGCGTGTCCTCTTGATCTAAATACGGCTTTTATTGACCTTAATCTACTTGTAATACATCCTTGGCCTTGTAGCGCGCTACCCTGCTGGCCCATGCCGGTTTTTGAGGGTCCCACACTGACCTCTGAGGCCCCATGCTGGCCTGTAAAGGCCCATATTAGCCTCTGAGGGCCCCGCGCTGGATTCTGAAGACCCGATGCCGGCCTTTAACCATCCCCTGTATTGGTGTTTTTCCAGCCGCGAACGCAGGTACTCGTATAGGGGGGGGGGGGGGCGTTGGACCTCCCTTGCCGTTTCGCCCCTGATCGAGCTAGAGCTTCGCGGAAAAAAAACAAGCGTGTTGCCCGTGACGAGAAGAAGCCGATGATACCCAATTTTAACCCTCGCCGGCACAGGCCATGTTGCGTCCTTCGGCGGCACGACCCCCCCCCCCCTCGCGTTTCGCCCCTGATCAAGCTAGAGCTTCACGGAAAAACGAGCGTGTTGCCCGTTACGAGAGGAAGCCGATGATACCCAATTTTAAGGTCCTAGGTCATCGGGTGACCTCCCAGGTCAGGTCAATGACCCGAAAACGGGGAAAATCGGGACCTGTTAGAAAGTCGTAGAGTATGGCTGCTATGTGGTTTTCCGGGGTGCTGATCACGAATATCGTGTTAGTTTTGATCAGAGATGATGTTTTAAGCATTTAGACCAGGTCGGGTCAGGTCAGGTCAGGTCAACCGGTAGGGGTTGTGACGGGTATTCGTATTACGTGTCAACCGCCTCTGACAGCTTCGTAACATGTTACGAAGGCACCAAAACTACTTCGTAAATGTTCAAATGGTTGCTAAATTCGAATTCAGCTAAAAAACTAGCCTAGAACACGAAAAAACTCGAAAAAGTGAACCGAGGTCACCCGAGGTCACCAAAGGTCAATGACCTGACCTGACCTTCAGGTGACCTTGACACCCACCCTTATGTATGGGAGCAACATCAAATCACATGTTTGAACGTTTGAAACCACGAAAAGCTTGCAAACGCGCGGCTAATGCGAGCCGACATACGCCGAATCGCGATTTCGGCCAAACATGGTCACGGAAAAGAGGTCACAGGTCGCGAGTTATTCGCAAAAAATCGAGGGGGGTCCGTTCGACTCCCCCTATACGGGCGAGGGTTACCCCCCGAATTGCTGGGGGGGCGTTAAACGCCCCCACTTTTTTCGCTGGGCCATAGCAAAAAAACGGCGCGCCGCAGGCGCGCCAAATTTTGGGTGCCTCTATGGAATTGTTTGACGTTTATTGTGACAAAATTTCAAAAAAAAAATCGGCCGGAAAATTTTTGAGATATCGAGGTTTCAATGACGTCATGATTTCTTGGTTTTCGACCAAAAACGTTATATGTTCAAAAAATCATATAAAATCACAGAATAGACATACAGACATGCCGTAAACGCCATTAGACTGCCAATACCATGAACAATCAAATGGCTATCTTCGATTATTGATTATCGTTCCGCATTTTCCAAAATCTTGAACTGAATCTTGGCAATTTCTCATGACTACTTCACGACCATGATACATGCGTTTCTTAATTTGAACTTTTTGACCCAAACACGTACAGTGTACACATATGATAAAATGAATGTCACCATCGTGTTCTACGCCCCAAATTACCCATAAAACATGTGTCACAGGCTGCGAATATCAGTTTTGATTTTCGGGGATATGTGTCTACCCGGTTGACCTGACCTTGACACTGACCTATGCTTGGCTGACCCCTACATGGAGCTGACACTCTTGTAGGCCTTATATGATGGATTGTGCACCGTTTTGACAGAGTTTATGACGAGAGGCGCCCATTGTGATGAAGTCCATGCTAGCATGGACTTCAGTAGCTACTGAAAGTCCGATTTCAGGTGTTTGACCTGACCTTGACCCGACCTGTGACCTCAAAATTCAACTTTAAAGTACTCATTTGAAGCGTCTCGTCGCGTTCTTTCGTTTGCCGCCTCGTGCGTTTCGCTGCGCCTATTGGTTCTCGAGTTATCGGCTGGGGGCGTTTAACGCCCCCCCCCCCCCCCAGCAAACGGTGGGTGGCGAAATACCCCAGCAACTGTATTTAGGAACCAATTCTTCGACACCAGTAATGCGTATATTGATTCGGTAGCTTTCGGAAGCTTCTGCTCCCTTCGTCAGCCGTGCTTTAAAATGCATTAAAATACAGGACAATGCAACTGCCGGTTAGGACCCAGCAACTGCCGGGTTAAGGACCTGGATCGGCTCTGAGGGCTCAACTTGGCCTTTTCTGGACTCTGGGGTCCAACACCAGCCCAAGCCTGTCTTTTAGGGTGCCACACTGACCCCTGAGGGTCCCATCATTGCCTCAAGGACCCGCATTAGCCTTTGAGAGCCTAAGTCGGCCTCTGATGGCCTCAAACTGCCATTTTCAGGCCCTGTACTGGTCTCTGAGGGCCTTAAACTGGCCTCTGAGGGCACAAACCGACCTCTACAGGTCCCACACCGGTTTCTGATGGCCCATTTTCTGCCTCTGAGATCCAAGACTGGCCCTTTTGTGCCTCTGAGGGCCCCGTACTGGCTTCTGAAGGATCGATGCCGGTCTCTGAGCACCAATGTCAGTCTTATAAGGGCCTCACACTGATATCTGAGGCCCACATTTGCCTCTGATGGCTCCAAATTGAGGCCCTATTTAGTCCCCAATCAGCCTATAAGGTCTCTGATGGCCCTATTTTGTTGTCTGGCTGGGGACCCATGGCTTACACCTTTAGGCGTCACGCACTGGCCTCTGAGAGCCCACATCGGCCTCTGGGGTTCCATACGGGCCTTTGAGGCCGCTATGGCCATGGGCCCCTGTAAGCTAGCACCGCCCCCCCCCCCTCCGAGGGTTGACAAAGTCAAGTTTTTGACGCACGCAGGCGAGTAGCAGGGTTTTTTCACCTCTGACTGACAGTGCCACTGCCACTGACAGTGCCGCCCGGTACTGCCACTGATAGTGCCGCCCGGTACTGCCACTGATAGTGCCGCCCGGTACTGCCACTGACAGTGCCACTGCCACTGACAGTGCCGCCCGGTACTGCCACTGATAGTGCCGCCCGGTACTGCCACTGATAGTGCCGCCCGGTACTGCCACTGACAGTGCCGCCCGGTACTGCCACTGACAGTGCCGCCCGGTACTGCCACTGACAGTGCCGCCGGGTACTGCCACTGACAGTGCCGCCCGGTACTGCCACTGACAGTGCCGCCCGGTACTGCCACTGATAGTGCCACCCGGTACTGTCACTGACAGTGCCACTGCCACTGACAGTGCCGCCCGGTACTGCCACTGACAGTGCCGCCGGGTACTGCCACTGACAGTGCCGCCGGGTACTGCCACTGACAGTGCCGCCCGGTACTGCCACTGACAGTGCCACTGCCACTGACAGTGCCGCCCGGTACTGCCACTGATAGTGCCGCCCGGTACTGCCACTGATAGTGCCACCCGGTACTGTCACTGACAGTGCCACTGCCACTGACAGTGCCGCCCGGTACTGCCACTGACAGTGCCGCCCGGTACTGCCACTGACAGTGCCGCCCGGTACTGCCACTGACAGTGCCGCCCGGTACTGCCACTGATAGTGACACCCGGTACTGCCACTGACATTGCCGCCTGTTTTGCCAGACATTGACGAGTGTGAAAACGAGCCATGCGGAGCCAACTTCCAGTGTGTCAACACGCCGGGCAGCTTCTCGTGCCAGTCGCGGCTGCAGTGTCAGCGCGGCTTCCGCGCCTCCGAGGACGGCGCCGTCTGCGTCGGTAAGCGGTACCTGGGAATCTCCGTCTGTGTTAGTAATGGGTACAGGGCATCTCCATTTGCGTCGGTAAGGGGTGCAGGGCCGCTCCGGGTCGCTAAGGGGGACATACACGGAGAAAAATAATTACTCCCCCGGGAATCACGATCCTCTATTTGGGAGTAAACTGACACCCATGATGTAATCGGATTCTGAAAATCAGAGTCCATACACCGTTTTTTAGTGTAAATTGATCTGGGTCAGAATCACATGCCTACGAGTCATTTGACTCCCAAAATTCTGACTCCCATTTTAGGTGTCGTGTCGTAAGTTTCTGCACGGTGTCAGTGTAAAATGACACATCTAAGCGTTTTTCGACGCTATCATGAGGTATTTTTTAATCCTAGGGGTGTCATTTAACACAGGTAAGCGTTTTAACCATCAATGACTCCCTTATTAGGTGTAATTTGGTCGTCAGTGGTGTCATAATCATAGGTGGGCACGATCCGTTCCTCCGTTCCTCCGTTCCGGAACGCCGTTACAATTCTTAGGAACGGAGGAAAGGACTCATTTACATTTTAAAAAGTGTAAGGGACCAAGTAACTTCCGTTACATTGGTTGCTCGTTCCTCCGTTACAGTTTAGCCCGTTCTTTCGTTCCTCCGCTCTTCCGTTACTTTTCGTTTTACGAGCGGGTTAATCTTTCAACTAACCCACAGACATTAATGTGGCAGCAAAGTTTAAGTTTTATCGTATTCTAATGTGTTAGATTTAGTAAACCTGAGACCAGTCACAGTTCAAGCAGGTCAAGTGCCAAGGCACAGACTTCTCTATATGTAAAGACTTCTACAGACTTCTTCTCTATATAGAGAAGTCTATGGCCAAGGCTATAATAGAAATTTGGCTCGAAGTTGTCTTGAAGAAGCAAGATGGCCTCAGTGACCTGGCCTTCCGGAAGGAGCTGGCGTTGCAGCATGTGTTCGCAAATTTCAGCACGGGCGTCCCTCCAAGCGCCGAGCGCATGTTCTCGATGGGAAAAGACGTGCTAAGTGCAAAAAGGGCTACCCTCTCAGATGCCAACCTGGAACGTCTTGTGTTCGTGAAGGGCAACCGGCATCTGGCCCGGGAAAAGTGATGCGCATCAGAACCACCAGACGTTCCAATGTTTAGGGTCCAGTCAGTGATCGCTGTCTTGGTAGATTTGATGGGCATTCCGTTTTCTCGATAGGTTTAGTTTGTGTCTGAATGGTCTCAGAAATGCGTGAAATACACAACATTTTAACGTGTTTTTCTTTTGTTGTAACGGAGTAACGGACTAAAGAACTTCCGTTACATTATTTGCAGATGAACGGAGGAACGAGTAACGGAAGTCACGTCGTGAAGGAACGGAAGAACGAGTAACGAAGTTACAATTTTGAGAAACGATGCCCACCTATGGTCATAATATTCCTTTCAAATGACGTATTGGGTGTGCTTTGACCCTCAGTAGTGTAATAATATTCCGGTGTCATCTGAACCTCATTGGGTTCAAATGACACCGGAATATTATAACACGACTGAGGGTCAAATTACACCTAATAAGCGAGTCACAGATTACGAAAACACTTAACTGTCTGATTTGAGTCAATGCCCCGAGTGACGTAATGTGTGTGCTAGCCATGGCTGGTCCGCTGCGAAGATGAAATAGGCAATAGCCCAATTACAGCAGGCTGCACTGTCAATTTGCGGACGAAGATTTGCGTAGACGAAAAAAATGCAAGACGAATAAATGCGGAGACGAAGAAATGCGCGGACGAAGAAATGCGAGACGAAAAATACGGAGACGAAGAAATGCGAGACGTAGACATGCGGCACGAAAAAAAATGCGGGACGAAGAAATGCGAGACGAAGAAATGCGCGGACGAAGAAATCCGGAGACGAAGAATTGCGCGGACGAAGAAATGCGAGACGAAGAAATGCGAGACGAAGAAAAGCGAGATGAGGAAATGCGAGACGAAGAAAGGCGAAGACGAAGAAATGTGCGGACGAAGAAATGCGAGACAAAGTAATGCGCGGACGAAGTTTTGCGGACGAAGAAATGCGGACGAAGAATTGCGCGACGAAGAAATGCCATACAAAGATTTGTCCGGATACGCTCGGTATCAATGGATTTTCGGTGACCCAGACTCCGACCCGACTCCAGCTCCGGCTTCCAAAGTCGACTCCGACTCTGACTCCGGTCAGAACTGTCGACTCCATCCGACTCTGACTCTGACTGTAACCCTGGTGCGAACTACAGTTCAGGTCCAGTGGTTTGAGTCAATGCCCGGCCAATCAGCAAGCTGCATTGTCGTGTGACGTCATTTGTGTTCTACACTGAGAAAAAAATTATTCCCCTGGAACACCTTTAAGGGTGTGTACCAAACTGCACCTCGCTGGGGTGTCAGACGGGTGTCACTTTTGACACCAATACAGGTGTCATTGGGAATGAAACACCGGGTGTCTGACACCCTTTTAGGTGTCTGACACCCTTTTGGGTGCACACCCAAAAGAGTGTCAGACACCCGGTGTTTGATTCCCAATGACACCTGTATTGGTGTCAAAAGTGACACCCGTCTGACACCCCAGCGAGGTGCAGTTTGGTACACACCCTTAAAGGTGTTACGAGAGTGTCCATTGGATGCCAAAAAAGGTGTCGACACATTCTTACATTTATTGGTTCAAACAGGCATATCGCATACATACATGGCATTCCTATCTTGTATACAGCAACAAACTATATAAAGTACAAAAAATATGGGCTCTATATTTACGGAGAAATCCAATGAAAACTCACCGAAACACATCGGGTCCATTCACAGTGAGAAGTTGCTCGCATTTCAGCAATGATAATTAACCGTCGATTATCTCCAACCAGATGTTATCCCGCAGTTCACTTGCTTTCGTTTCCATGGTGCAATGCTGTGTTGTCATCCTCAACTCCAGACTTCAAATTTCACCGAGTACCGCCCGCCTCGTCATTTGAATAAACAAGGAGCAAGCTACAAATAAAAGCTAAACATTATCATTAACGCACAATCACTTGAAGAAGTACACTGCGAACAACGTTCGGCGCCACTATATCCACATAAATTCAAAAAAGCCCTCCATCACTCACACCCCACACGCAACACGTGGTCACGCCGCCGCCAACTGAAATCTAACGGCTTTCCTGCAAGGTGGCGCTTTTTGATCTTCGCATGGTTGACGCCGTGACCAGTACACAAATGACGTCACACAATGCAGCTTGCTGATTGGGTAATGATTCAAACCACTGGACCTGCTGTGGTTTCTAGCAGTGCTACGGAGTCAGAGTCGGAGTCTGATGGAGTTGGCAGTTCTGGCCGGAATAGGAGTCCATTTTGGAAGACAGAGCGGGAGTCCGAGTCACTGAAAATCCGTTAGACACCGCATCCCTGGTTCCTAACACAAGTGACGTCAGAACAATTTATGTAATGATTCAGGTTCAAATACACGACAGCTTTCAAACATTTCATGACTCATGCTGGAATGTTCCTCAACAAATGACAACACACGTGAAGGTATCACAAGGGTATCAGATCCCTTTTAAGGAACATTTTTTTTACACCTTTTGAAGTGTTGATGGTTTAGGGTGTTTCACACCCGAATGGATGTTGGTGTAGGACACCCATTAATGTGTCTTTCTGAATCCCATTATCGGTGTGTTTAAAAGCGCGTTGCACTTGAAGGTTGTCATCGTGGTGTTGTACACCTCCATGATTCCCAAAACAACATTTTTGACACCAATCTGGGCGTTATATATGACACTGCAATGATGTCCAACACCCGTGAGACACCCCATAGGAATATTTTTCCTCATTTTTTTCACGCTGTTTTTGGTGTCAGATCCTTTTGCAAGTGTCAATGTGACACCTCTAGCAGTGTCGGACACTTTTAACATTCCGCTTCAATAAATGGCAACACCTGTGAAGGCATCATAAGGGTGTCAGATGCTTTTAAAAGAACATTTTTGACACCTTTTAGGGTGTTTGATACCTTAGAGTGTTTGATACCCGGATGGGTGTGGGTGTCGGACACCTATTAAGGTGTCATGCTGAATCCCATTAAAGTATATCTGAACACTCGCATGCGAACGAACACTTGAAAGGGTGTCATCGTGGTGTTGTACACCTTAATGATTCCCTAAACAGCATTTTTCAACACCAATCTGGGTGTTCGATGACACCTCCAATGGTGTCTGACACCCGTAAAACACCCCTGGGGAATAATTTTTTTCTCAGTGTAGCCATGCCGGTTCGCTACGAAGATGAAATAGCTCGACCTTGCAGGAAAACCGTTAGGAAAGCCTTGGGAAAGCTGTTGATTTCATCTGCCGGCGGCGTGGCCACGTGGGTGCGTGTGGTGTGAGCGGGGAGAGGAACTTATTTGAATTAACGCGCTTGTAATGTCGCCAAACGTTGTTTAAAGTGTAAATTTACTTCAAGTGATAGTGCTTTAACGATAAACTTCAGAATTTATTTGTTGTTTGCTCAACATGCGTATTTAAATAGCGAGGCGCCCTGCACTCGGCGAAATTTTGAAGTAGGACAAGATAGCAACGCACCATGGAGATGGAGGCAAGTTTTTATGTCATTAAGCTGCAGAATAACTCTACCTAAGTAGCAATAATCACCCGTTGATGGAACATAGTTTAAATGTGAGTAATTCCTTACGGTGAATGGACCCATGAGCCTTACGATAAGTTTTCATTAGATTTCGCCATACATATCGTGCCCAAATGTTGTGTAACTTATTGTTGCATATTAAATGACGAATGTCATGCATGTATTGCTAATTTGCGTCATGTGGTGAACAACTGCAATTATGACTCTGGTGGAGAGTGTATTTTTATCCCATAAGGTGTATGATTCCGAGAATCATTTGACAACATCTGGTATAAAATACACTCCCCAACAAAGTCAGAATACCTCGGGGGTATCTGATTCAGGGAGTAATCTGAGGCTGACACCTGGAAACTGCGCGTTTTTGGTATCGCTTAAAAACATCCATTTTAAAGGTGCATCGCTCCAGATCTTGAGAACTGCGCGTTTTTCGTAATACTTCAAAAAATAAGCCTCGTTAGGTACACGGTGGTTTGTTGTATAACTATTCTATTTGTATACCTACTATTGGTCTCGAGATAAGGGCCCAGGCGCCCTGTTTTTTTGATGCGGTGAATACCCTTATCCTCGCCGCAGCTCGGGTCGAGTGCATCCCTCACCCCCACACAACCCAACCCCCGCACTCGAATATTACCGGTATTTCTCATGCGCCCATTTGGCCGAATGCTCTCTCTCTCTCTCTCTCTCTCTCTCTCTCTCTCTCTCTCTCTCTCTCTCTCTCTCTCTCTCTCTCTCTCTCTCTCTCTCTCTCTCTCTCTCTCTCTCTCTCTCTCTCTCTCTCTCTCTCTCTCTCTCTCTCTCTCTCTCTCTCTCTCTCTCTCTCTCTCTCTCTGTCTCTGTCTCTGTCTCTGTCTCTGTCTCTGTCTCTGTCTCTGTCTCTGTCTCTGTCTCTGTCTCTGTCTCTGTCTCTGTCTTTTTTTTTTTTACTGTTTCGTGTTTGTCTTTTTTTTCCGCTGACACTTTTATTTCAGAAACAAGTGAAAACATACAGGTCAAAAACCATCACAAAGGTTCCCATTCACCTGTACATCATGCAAGTGCATTGACAGTACACATTTCGTCTGTACACTCGAGTTAATTTTACAGTTTGTTTGCGCTGCCTGCCAACGTCGCGGTTCAAAAACAAACAGAAACGAAATCGAAATCAAAGAATCAAATGAATGTGTTTATGAAAGCGAGTGTAATGGCGAGTGTGCTGGTGTGTGTGTGTGTGTGGGGGTGTGTGTGTGTGTGTTGGGTGTGTGTGGGTGTGTGTGTGTGTGTGTTTGTGTGTGTGCGCGCGCGCGCGTGTATGTGCGTACAGTTGTGTGCGTGTGTATGCGCGCACGCGCGACTGTCTGATAGGCACCGGCGCGGCGCGCAGCCCGCACGAACGCAGCTCTCAATCATGAGATTATTCTGCCCAATGATTTCCATTTCTTTTGGAAGTCCTCTGGTTTGTTCTTAAGTTGAGTTGCAAGTCGCTCTTTTTGCGCTTCACTTTTTAGATAATTCAAGAAGTGAGCAACAGTTGGTTTTTCATTGTTATTTCGTGCCTTGTAAATGACGGCCTTCGCTATTATATTGATTAAAGATTGTATCTGGTCTACTGCGTTTGGGAAAAACCATGTATCTATTCTAGGTCTCACATGCATTTGAAATTTTGAGAAAAGTTCAACGTCGATTTGCTGCAAAAATTGTTTTGTGACATGACATTGCCAGAAAAGGTGTGTAATGGTTTCGGTTTCTTGTTTACAAAAGGTACATAAATTGCTCTCTGTTATATGTATGATATTCAGGAACGTATTAGTGGTGATTATTCTGTTAATTATTCGGTAGTGCAGATATAATAAGTATGGAGAACTTGTCGCTTTTTTTAGGTGCACTAAGCTACCTTTTTCGTGAAAGTTTATGTCTGAACGCCATTTCCGTTGTACATTGTTAAATGCATCGTTGGAATTCTTCCGTATTTCATTAACGAATAGGGTGTAACAGTGTCTATTAAACTTTGGTTTCCCAAAAAATAATTGCAATTTGTACGGAATATTTGGTCTTTCAAAAAATACTTTCTTTGCTTTTCTGACTTCTTCTGGCAGGCTTCGTATTAATGATTCGTAGCACAGGAATGTCATTGAAATCCTGTAGTGCAGTTTTATTTCTTCTCGAGTCATAATATTTCCAGTTTTTGGGTTGAACAGATCTCCGATAAATCGTAGACCACGCTGGTCCCATTTTCTAACGATTGATTTCTTAAATTTTGTGTAATCGGAATACCCCAAAGGTTCACTGAAGATTTGACTGGTTTCTATTTGGGCAATTTTATGAAATCGAATGACCGCTTCAACGACTTCTTTCCAGAAAACATTCTGTACTTCAGTTCTAATTTCATTTAGTCTTGTTACATTACATGTTAAAAGTAATTCGGGGTTTAAAAGTTGCGTATCACTTGAGGCAAGGCAACTGTTTGAAAACTTCGCCATGCGTTTTAGCCAAGATATCTTGAGACTATCTATAAAAGACTTTAAATCTATCATCTTAAGTCCGTCGAATTCAAGAGTTTGAATTATTTTCGTTCTTTTAATGCGGTCAGGTTTATTGTCCCAAAGAAAATTAAACAACAATTGCTCAATCTTCTTGACATACTTTTGTGATGGATTTGGGAGCGCTAAGAACAAGTGCACTAACTTGGATACAAGTATCGATTTTATTACTGTGATTTTTCCCAACAAAGTGATGTTTCGTCGTTTCCATTGCACGATATCATAACGCAGGTTTGCTAACTTTCTCTCTACATTATCGTCAGTTATAGTGTCTATATTGTTTTTGAAATATATTCCTAAAACTTTAAGTTCTTGGACCCATTTTAACTTATGCATAATACTTGTATTTATGGTAATCGGAGGTTGCTGACATCCCAAATTTAAACAAGAAGTTTTTTCCCAGTTAATTCGGAGTCCGGATTGCTTAGAAAATTGTGAGATTTCATTAATGGCCCCGTTTAACGAACGTTCAGTATTCTCAAGAAAGAGTATTGTGTCATCAGCATATTGGCTGATTCTTACTTCTGTGTTTCTGTTCAAACGAATGCCTGTTAACATTCTAGAGTTGTCTCTGTCTCTGTCTCTGTCTCTGTCTCTGTCTCTGTCTCTGTCTCTGTCTCTGTCTCTGTCTCTGTCTCTGTCTCTGTCTCTGTCTCTGTCTCTGTCTCTGTCTCTGTCTCTGTCTCTGTCTCTGTCTCTGTCTCTGTCTCTGTCTCTGTCTCTGTCTCTCTCTCTCTCTCTCTCTCTCTCTCTCTCTCTCTCTCTCTCTCTCTCTCTCTCTCTCTCTCTCTCTCTCTCTCTCTCTGTCTCTCTCTCTCTCTCTGTCTCTCTGTCTCTCTCTCTCTCTGTCTCTCTGTCTCTCTGTCTCTCTGTCTCTCTCTCTCTCTCTCTGTCTCTCTGTCTCTCTGTCTCTCTCTCTCTGTCTCTCTGTCTCTCTCTCTCTCTCCCTCTCTCTCTCTCTCTCTCTCTCTCTCTCTCTCTCTCTCTCTCTCTCTCTCTCTCTCTCTCTCTCTCTCTCTCTCTCTCTCTCGCTCACCTGTCTGGCTATCTGACCGGCAGACATTGACGAGTGCTCGGAGCCCCGCTCGCCGTGCGCCGCCGACCAGCTGTGCACCAACAAACCGGGCGGCTACGAGTGCTCGTGCCAGCCGGGCTACATCGTCAACCGGTACAACCAGTGCGAGGATGTGGACGAGTGCAGCACCTACGGAGACAAGGTGGGCGGCGCAGCGCACAGCACAGCGCAGACAACATACAGCGCACACAGCGCACAGCACAGCGCAGACAACATACAGCGCACACAGCGCACAGCACAGCGCAGACAACATACAGCGCACACAGCGCACTGCACAGCACACAGCTCACAGCGCATTGCGTACAGCTCAGAACACAACATACAACACAGCTTATAGCACACATGCTCGCTCTGCGGAAGATTCCTTCCCACTGAGAGCGTCTCGACATTTTTGGACGCAGAGGCTCCCTTGCAACGTGATCGTCATAAGGAAGCGTCACATATCAGTAACATGACCTGACTTGAAAACAAAATTACTGTCAAAAGATCCTGATTGAATCAAAGGTCAGTGTATGCCAATTATTAGCTCTCTATCGCTAACGCGTTCCAAGCAATCGTGAGGCGTTGTAATTTTGTGCACCATTCCCCGCAGGGGTGGGCGTCTTACCTACCCACCGGGTAAAGGCCGCCCCACACTGCACCATTCCCCGCAGGGGTGGGCGTCTTACCTATACCCACCGGGTAAAGGCCGCCCCACACTGCACCATTCCCCGCAGGGGTGGGCGTCTTACCTACCCACCGGGTAAAGGCCGCCCCACACTGCACCATTCCCCGCAGGGGTGGGCGTCTTACCTACCCACCGGGTAAAGGCCGCCCCACACTGGAGCTCGCATGCGGGTTGCGAGTCTGCGGGTTTTGGATTCGCGGGTAAAATATTCATTCATAGAGTGATTAAACCATTCTCTCATGGTCACTACATGAATGCAGTGAAGCCAGTACACCCTCAGAAAATTGCATATTATCGCAATAACAGCACAATGAACCAAAATTCGGCTTCAACAAAACACACCAAAACTCGCAGATCTCGCAGCGAGGAAAATCAAAACTTGACTCAAAATTAACTTTTGGAATACGATGCAAGGTGGCTCGCAAGCTAAAAACATGCAGACTCGCTTTTTACGTATAGATGGTAGTATGGGTCACTTAGCGCATATATTGTATTACTTAATTTTGAAGAAACCCGTAACCCGCAGACTCGCAACCCGCATGCGAGGTCCGGTGTGGGGCGGTCTTAAGATGCCCGAAATGACGTGCTCGATGAAAACGCATATTATTCCTAACGAACATAATATGTGGGTGTTATGTGTAATTAATCAACTTGCAAAATGAATGCACTTAACCCGCGCACCGACGGGGGTCTGCGCCAACTTCGCACCGACGGGGGGGGGGGCGGATGACCGCCCCCCCCTGAGATCTCGAGAACGAAGCAAGATAGCGACAAGCGGTAAACGGCATCGGATACGCACGGCCAAGATCTACAATTTTTACTAAGGTCATTTTCAGGTCAGGTCAAAGATGACGTCACAAGGGTCGAAAAAGTCAAAATGGCGGCGCTAGATTTGGAGAGAGTTTTTCTCGAATAACTTTCGAATTAGTCAAGATAGGAACAAACTAAGGGCATCATCGTGATCCTCTCGTCAATCCGCATCGAATGATATATATGTTGACCTCGAAAGGTCAAGGTCAAAGGTTGACCTCAGGTCACGTGACCTCGAGGTCATCATGTATATCATTCGATGCGTCTTGACGAGCTGAACACAATGAGACCATCCACGCGTCTGTATCTTGTTCCTGTACGGAGTTATTGGCCAAAAACCTTTGGTGACCTTTGATGACGTCACATGACCTCACAGCTGCCCAACAGCAAAACAGAGCTCAAGGTAGTGAAGGTTGATCGTATATAAAGTCATGTATGGTATATGGGGCCATTCCGACCCGTTTTAGTGGTAAAAACAGGGAGTTGATTTTTCCCCCATTGACTTATAATGGGGAGGTCGCGAAATTGACCTGACCTTAGGTCACCGATATCAAAATTCCGAGATAAACAAATTGTAGCTACTAATGACCTAATAATATCCTGCGACTTTCAAAGGCCTCCGACATCTACTGTAGCTCTGGCACGGTGACAAAATTGCAAAAAAGTGACTTGAGGTTGGGTCATTCAAAGTGACCTGGTGACCTGACCTTAAAAGGTAGGAGGTTCAAACTTGCACACCATGTGTAAAATTGATGAGGTTATAGTCATACCAAATTTCGCGGCGCTACGCGCCGCGGTTTTCCCGCTATCCGCGAAAAACCTCAGGGGGGGGGCGGATATCCGCCCCCCCCGTCGGTGCGCGGGTTAAATAAAACCGCTTAGTTAGCGACAAACATCAAGTTTGCCCGCGAGAGCATTTTTGGCTTAACGGGACCGACTCTTCCATGCGTGTTTGGTCAAAAAAGGTCAATTTAACCCGCGCCGGGCCGGGGCGGGGTGTGTTTGAACACACACACACACACACACCCTGCGGTTTTTCGCAGATATCTCAAAAACGGTGGCCGCCGCCGTTTTTGGCACGCCTGTTCGTGCATCTTTTCCGTACATGTTGTGAAAATTGCAGACCCAGGTCACCTTAGGTCAGGTCCCCAGGTCACGCCAAGTGACCTCACCTCAGAAAAAAATAAGAATGCTCGTCATAGCTACACCGATTGATCGATTGCACTGAAACTTTCAGCGATTGATTAGAGCAAGATTATCTATAAAATGGTTATCTCGGAATTTTGATATCGGTGACCTAAGGTCAGGTCAATTTTGCGACCTCTCCATTGTAAGTCAATGGGAGAAAATTGAAAAGCGTCTGTTTTGCACGAACGCTATTCTAGACACTGTCAAACATCGAGATGTAGGTAAAATGGACACACTGAACCGGAAAATGCAACTGTGACCCCTAGTTATGTCCCCGAGGTTATCTCAGGTCACGAACAGAATCTAACAGTTTTTCGCTAATAACTTCTGATCGAGACGTGCTAGAGCGCTGAAAACGCCTTAGATGTGTTCGGCTCGACGTTGCGGATCGACTGATATGCAACATGACCTTTTCCAGTCGTCATGACCTTGACCTGGCTGGAGATATCGCCACCAAACTTTCAGGACCCTTCCAGGCATCAATTTTACACATTGTGACCAAAAATTTTTCCACAGGCTATGATAGGTTGGCCACAAATGACGTCATGTTCTGTCATTTTCGACCGAAAAAAAGACCTAGAAAGAAGAAAGAAAAGAAGCGAGAAGACCTGTCAGGCCTACAGCTTTGAAGATACAGAAAAATGATCAATACATAAAAGGTGTAGAATTGACAGGGCTACAAAACTGCTATATCGGATTTTTGAAATTTTTGAGTTTTGATCCCCAAAAATCAAAAAAAAAATTTGGATATATTAGCCAAAAAATCCGAAAAGTTTTTTGAGTTTCGAAAAAAACCGGATTATATGTGATAGCACCTACCGTCTTCTATCTACATACCGAATGTCAGATCAATACCTCGTTTTTTGGCCAAGTTATAGCGAAAAACTGTTCAAAAAAGATGACGTCAAGTTTTCAAACTCAATTTTTGGCAATTCTAGGCGTTGTAGAGCAAAACAAAGACCACCATTAGACTCCCCGTGACGAGCTGCATCGAATCGATACCCATGTTATGCAAAAATATCAACTTTGAAATTTGACCTAATTTGACCTGGCCTTGACCTGACCTTCACCAAAACGTGACCTAGGCTGGCCCCAAAGGCTGCCTAACCCACATAATCGCATTTGTCATGTAAAATGGACCATAAAACATGTTATCACACGACACTTTCATATTGTGACCCCCGGTGACCTGACCTCGCTGTGACCTGACCTGGTATCAGTGACCTCAGATAGCAAAGTACATGTTTGACGAACAATGTAACATCGATGGTTTTCAATAAATTACCAATTTACTCGATTTCAGAACACATTTCTTGAAATGCCTGTGAACGGTGAAAAGCCGACCTTTGACCTGACCTGTGACGTCATCATTTTGACCTAGGTCAATGAAATTTGGTCACAAGGTAGTTCCCGGGTGGAGCTATCGAACGCCGTTTGAATTTTGAAAATCGGCCGGTAAATTTCCGAGATCTTAGGGGGAGCCCGAAACGGCCCCCTCCCCCTACGGGTGGTAGGGTCCGCCGGTAGCCCTACGGGGCGGGGGTTAAGCCATAGGCGGTGGAACGGGGGGGGGGGGGCACCGGGGCACCGTGCCCTCCTTGATTTTGCCCTTTTAACATTAGCCCTAAAGGCGTTGCATGCAAAGAATAGGACGAAAAGTCGGCAGTGCCCCCCCTTAACCTTCGCCCCAGTGGGGGGCATATGTTACCACCCTGTCGCGTTTTTTGCGTGTGAATAAAAAACCGCGGCGCGTAGCGCCGCGCCGCTTGAAGTAGCTTTTTGCACATCAATGTTGGACAATGTGTGAAATTTTTGACCCCAGGTCATGTCAGGTCAGGTCACCAGGTCAAGTTAACTGACCAAGCCTAAAAAAGTTTGCATCATGTCCAGCCTGCAGTGTTTGTCAGAAAGCTTTTAAACTTGGTGGATTGCATGATGTTATGGGCGTCTACAATTTGTATATCTCGGATTTTTTTATATCCGTGACCTAAGGTCAGGTCAGTGGCGTGACCTTTCCCTTGCAAGTCGATGGAGAAAAACGAAAATGCCTCTAGATCCGTGTGTACGCATTGGAACAGTCCTAATATTTCAGAATCAAAGTTATTTGGACCACCCGTGACGACCAAGGTGTCTTTTTTGCTAGTAGCCTCTAGAGAGGTCATCCGAGGTCATTTGAGGCTACAAACAGCTTTTTGCCAATAACTCTCGATTGGAAAGAGATAGAACGCTGGGGATGGCCTCATTGTGTTTGTTTTGCCGAGACGCATCGATTGATATGCAACATGACCTTTTCCGGTCAGGTCATGACCTTGACCTTAGGTCAAATTTTCAAGTTGACTTTCAAGGTCAAATTATAATTTATTCGACGCGTCTTGGCGAGAGGAACACGATTCTGGCAATAGAAATGTCGTGGCGTTTTTCAGTCAAAAGTTATTGTCGAAAATCACTTTTCGTAAAAACAGCTATTTTTGGAGTTT